GGAGTAAGACATCAAGGCACCAGCGTCTCTGGAATGTCAAGGAGATAACGTGACCATTGTGATGGAGGGGGCTTTATTTCTCTCCGTGGAGTCTATTGTTGTCGAGAGACAGGTACTTCAAAGAGAAAGCCGACAGAGCGCAATACAATAGAGACGTTGATAGCGAAACCACACAATGTCCATGACCTGGAAGCTGTTGTAGCGGCAAATCATCAAACAAAAATTGGGGGGAAAAAATTAGGAAGAAAAGAAAAGAAATGCATAACTTGATTAGTGAAATTACATTTGACATTCATTAACAAGAGAAAGGAAAGAGTAAAAAACGTGGACTGGAAAAAAAAATACACGTGTGCATTACATACTGGGTTGTTATTTTCAGCAACGGAAGTAATAATATCACCTACATGTATGCACAAAAGAGTTTTAATTATAATCAAGCAGCATGTCACTATTAAGCATGCATGTGTAAACTGCATGGAAAAATGATCTTTGCACATATTGTTAATCACAAATGTGTAAGGAAGTTATGACATATAAATTGATTATTTTTCTGGTTTTGTAAAGCACTGAACGAACGTCCTCCCCCAAAAAAACCAAATTCGTGTACATGAAGGTTACTGCTCAAGATGTTATCTTCCATTCCAGTCAAAACTCACATCAAGAGCCCTACCCTGCCGGCCTCAAGTACCAACCACCCAACAAGTGGCCAGGATAACTCTCTCCCATGTGTACTTAACTCGCTGTTCAAGTGATTTTCTCAGTCAATAGTCAGTTTCCGATGACTAAACAATCACTCTTTTACCTCTTAGTGGTGGCCCAATGCGGCCCTTTTTCACTTTTTTTTTCTCCCTGCCTATCCCCCCCTGTTTGTTCCGCCACAGCAGAGGTGTCGTACAATCATACCTGATCCGATACTCTTCAACTTGAGAAGCTGTGGGCGGTTTTTCGGTGGAGGGGAAAGCGATTGTTACGCGGCCAGCAAGCCCGTGGTAATCCCTGCATTGATCGGGAGTTATTGTATAGCTGAGGTGAAGCTGTAATCACATTAGGTGTGCGTGCTCTTTTCTGGGTTTGATAGGATCACGGGATCAGAAGGGCTCGGCTAATTCTTTTTCCCCCTTCTTTTTTTTGCCGTAAAGAACTTGCGCTGATGTGTCACAAAGGTTCAGGTAGGGGTCACAACTTTGCGGGGAAAACACTTTTTTTTTCTTTTCTAAATTCAAATGGAATTTAGTGAGGGCCAGTTTAAGGTAGTAGTGTAAGTGTATTGTGTCATGCTAGGTATAGTGTATTTGCACAGAAAGTCAAAAGTGAGCATACATAATTTACATTTATGTACATCAAGAAGTTAAAAGTAAATAATACAAATTAGTCTCTTGCTGAAGTGATATGACATACTTTGAAGAGTATGATATCCATTTAAAACTCAAATGACTTGAAAAAAAAGTTTTGATGAATATAAGACAAATCTTGGGCTTCATGCATTCACCAAATTATTGCATAAACATGTTTACAAGTGTAGTTATGGTGCATGTTTTGGCAGGCACTGCATAATAGGGAAGTACTATTGGTCCCCACAAAACCTACTATGCAACTAGTGTTAATAATCACTATGGAACAAGTAAATCGTGTACATGTGTGTATCTGATATATCATGCACTCCATTTGATCAGGAGAGGCAACCTTGAAAAGAAAGCATTTCGTTCCATTTGGAAAAAAATCAGTTAGGCCCCATATGAATATCCATATTCGACAAATAAAAAGCAAATATAGCCAAACATTTTCAGAATGTTCCTTGTCAGAAAAGCTTTGATGCCAAATTGTAGGTTGGGCCTTGCAAATTGTAGGTTGGGCCTTGCTTCGATTGAAAATGGTCCAAATTTTCCAAAATTGGATGGCTTTCCATTATTGATCACCCCTGAATCTATCCCGCAGGACTCACACAAGGTAAACAACACTCGGCCTTTTGCCAGTCACAAGAGAATGAAAGGGAAGATACAATGGCTTTTATGGTACACCACTTCTAACCGGCCGCTAGTTGTTTCTAATCCTTTCAAGTGTTCGGCTCTGTGTGTTCGCTGAAGCTTTAGAGGTGCTTCTCAGTATGAAGAACTTGAAGGATGCTTCAAAAGGAGCACCCTCACCCGTAGCTCCGGAAACAAACAACATCTGTGGCAGGGAGTGGCAGCGAGGGGGGGGGGAGGTTCAGGGGTTCAAAAAAATGTGTGCTTTTTTTGTTCAGAGCTGCTTTTAAAGAAATTTAAAGTTTAATTTATAGAAACCTTAGAAAGTTTCTGGTATGCATTTAAGGGAACAGAGACATGATTTATCTTTTTAACGGTTGTAAATAATGTGTCATCTACATGTAGTTTGAATCGGGAATGTCACCTGACCTTTTTAAGGAACATTTCAGATTTTTCTCAATCAGACAGCATATCCTGGTGTGCCTTGTACTTCCAAGTTATTTTGTCAATTCAAACTTGGCCACAAATATGAATGGACTGAGGGAGTAATAAAGATTGCAGATATTAATAGTGTCAATTTCTTCACAAGTTCCATTTCTTGTCTGTGCTGTTCCAATCACACTTATTTAATGAACACTCTAACGATATCTGCTAATGTTATGCAGTCAGCCCTTGGTGACATCAAAACCTGCCTGCCGCTGTGATTGTTTAACTGAGCCTCTTCTACTTGTATCTCGCAGTCCAGTACATGTACATGTAGTAATAGTATGGCCCCCTACGGGTTCCTTCATCCAACCTTGGTTCTTGCTAGGTGTGACCTTTGACCTCTGGGCTTGTAGGAGTGCTCTGCCTCCCAGCAGGGATGTGGCGTTCTCTTCTACCACTTTCCCATTATGCTGCACATGTACATATGTACATTGTAGTTTGTACATGACAATGTATTTCTGATTTTGTTAGATTTTTGATTCAGCAACAATGCTTCTTGATAATTTTTTTTATCAATTGAAGGGAAACTACCGGTAGCAATGTACATTATATTTATACACAGGTTTATTTTTATATACCAAACTGTTACAAAAAAAATCTTCAAAAAGGTGCCAGATATAATCCTGAAAAAGTTTTAATGTGTCGGTCCATGAACACATTGAGTGCATTTTTCTTTTCACTCACTGCCTTCGAATTGACAGTTTCCTGAATTTAGCCCTCAATTTAGCCAAACCGGACACCAGCCCTCGGCCAGAAAGGAGCCCTTCAATAATCCCCTAATGAGCCTGTTGTGAATCTCGACATGTTTATCTCCATGAAAAGAATCCCCCCAAAAAAAGAAAAAAGAGAGCCACACCACACTCTCATTCATATCGCTGAAGTTCTTTTCTCCTGCGATACAATTGTAGAAGCACAGATTCATTAGATCCTTGTATGGCTGACACTGCTTTTGAGGTCCTTCGATAGGACCTCCCACTGATTCTGCTCTTCTCTTGTTCTTCACGTCGACAACTGAGAGCTCTTCTCTCTTCCGCCGCTTCTTTGTTCTTCACCAAAGAAAAATCTCCGAGTTCCGAGAGTATTGTTGTTCATTGTAAACAAGGAAACCTAAAAATAAATCTTCTGTTGAACCCACTGCGCCCATTGATCATGTGTGTACATTTTTGGTGGTATGGAGTTGTCGACATTCTGAGAAATGATCCTTGAGGATGTAGGTCTTCTTCAGAGGGCCGGTGAGGTCAGTAACCTCTGGCCGACAGCTGGGCTGGTCAAGATGAGGTCACTGAAAGGGACAGGTTTTTTGTCCTTGTGATGCCACCCATGTTTGTCAGTTTTCTAGAACTCCAACCCGCAGGAACCTAGTGTGAATGGATTGGTTGAATTCGTTCCTTTCTCTTTGGTCTCTCAACCTCTCTGTCATGGCTGCCGTGCTCCTGTGTGGGTTGCGGCTTCCGTTTGTTTTTGTTCCTTAGTATAACAAACCAAACTTCCAGAAACAATATTATTGTTATAAGCTGTGTGATGATTTTTTTCTCGTGGGCCGCAGGTAGCATACATATGGATAACACCTGGGCATTTTCCAATGTTCAATCGTTGACCGACTTGAAACTTGGGTATTTTCGCCCCCTTAACCTCTTTATGTCTGAGAAATCTTAACTTTTTTTAGTGAAAATTTAGATGGCTTTAACCATCTGGTACATCAACAAGAAAACGTTCAGTTTGCATTTTCGAAATTCTGAACTCCCTTCTTGTTATTTTTACTAGGAATTTTCCTGGATCCTCCGATCCACTGTGCAGATTATACTTAAACTTTCAAGTCTCCCTTTCAAAGTTATTGGAGCCGGGATATGCTTTCCTAAATTCTTCAGAACCCTCCTCAACCTGGTGGATTTTTTGGAAGGATTTGGGATATTTAAGAGTTCACTTTTGTCTAGATTCATGGTTCATGCATCTTCAATAAACATCACTGTAAACTTGCTATGAGTGTGAACTAAATATTCCACAGGTATTGGGCTTGGCTTCCAAGGCAAATTTTTTTTGTTTTGAGAATGACAAGTTCCCAGGTCCCTGAACTTACTGCCATCAGACATGTCTGGACAATCTCATGCCTGTAGATATAGAACCAAACATGGCTTACAAATTGTTTGATGTCGTAAATTAAATTTACGACATAAACTGTCCCCAATTATACAGAGCGCAAACTTTATTTTGGGTTTTCTCCTTGTTCAGTTCTGTTCTTCTTTTGTTACTTGATTTTAAAGACCGATGCTTGATTTACTGCAAAGACACTCCATAATGGCAACATTGCAATAAAATACCACTTACATGTACTCCTAAACGTACCCTGGAGTGTTTAATTTTAGATGAAGGAAAAATCAAAAACACCCCTTCAACTAGTACTGTATTCATTTGTTTTCTGTGTCAATTTACGTTAAAAGCTCTCTTTTTTATTCCAGTTTCTGACAACCAAGTGTACAGTCTACAATACCTTATACCCGTTGCTAATTCAATCATTTCTCTCTTTTCCCTCTCACTCTTTTCCCTCTCCAGCAGACGTCGTCGGATGACCCTCACCTGTGCCAGTGTAATACACCCCACGTCCCTGTAGGATTTGCCAAAGATAATTGCCATTTTGAAGGTAAGCACCCACATCGGTTCCCCCTTCTGCCCAAATTACCTGGCCCCAACTCCCCAAATACCTCATGAGACGACCGCCTCAGTTTTTGAAGACTGCCGACATGAAACACTGGCTACTCTGTTAGCAGTCTCCTTTTTCCACGCCTTGCCTTACGAAACCCTAAGCAAATTAGTTAAGTGTTTTTCGGTGGCCTCCCAGCGGGACTTGTTCCCTGACTTGACATTGGAGAAATTGATTTGGAAAGTGTGTGGATATTTCCTTGCAGACTGGAACATTTGATGGTAGTAGGCGGCAAATTGTTGCATTGGTCTTTCTGAGAAAGCAGTTAGTCATATGCATTTTAATAGATTTTTCTGATATTGTAAGAAAGACCGTGGGTTGAACCTTGGGACAAACAAAACCTACCGGTACATGCACCTAGCAAGTTTCAATTGGTGGGTACATGAATAATTAGGAATGACCAACAGATGGCTGTTTGTGTAAGTTAATATGCCACATTCCCCTCAGTTCACCTCGGGAATTTCTTTGATTGTGTTGTTGACAAATTATAATATATGTTGTTGCTGAAATTTTTTTTAAAAATAAATAAAAAGTGTTATTAAGTACACCACAGAAGCAGTTCATTTGCTTATATGGCCGTTTACATGTATGTGTGGCTAAGAAACAAAAATTTGAGAAAAGGCAAATATTTTCTCATCAAGGATATTTTTTTCCCCATTTTATGTTTGATCAAAATACATTTTTGTAGTGGGAGATTGTTCACCTTGTTGAAGACGCAACAGCTGGTGTGGTGATAATGCACTTTGCAGAATGTCACTCAATTTCCCCAGACGACATGGTGCAAAATATCCCACATCATTCACACGGGGGACATCAATAACTAACCCTCCCCCTTCCCTTTCCGAATCGATCGTCCCCCAAGCCAACCCTCTGACTGATCAGTTTTCCCTCTTCCCCGATGTAATTTTGTTTCTTCTCCGGATTGAATCCTCCAGTTGCCTTACCACCGGAGGTGACAGGATCCGCCTGCAGCGTGAAGGTTGTAGCTGTGGAGAAGACTGACAGTACTGAGGAAGTCAAACCTCCGCTTTCCCCGACGATGTCTTCAAACAGCGGCAAGGCTACAGTAGGGGTACGTCATCTTGTCTACTTGTTCTTGTAGATTACAGTCATTCTCGATCCCTGCCAGCTCTTCATCGTAGTTCCTCTGTTCTCGGTTCTCAGGTTGTCTGGATGGGGATGAGGCGCTACTCAATGTTAGAAAATATACCCAAGCTTGCACACAACTAAATACAAAATGGTCGAGTTCGTTTAGAGGAAAACTTAACATTGGGCAAATGACATTAAGAATTTCAGTACGGACATGCAAGGATCACTTAATTTAAAAAACAATCACGAGGGGTGCTCTTTTTATCTTCCTCAAGTAATTCAATCCGAACTTTCATAATTTGTATTTGCTTCGCCCTGTGGTCAATTACATTTCTCCTTACATCTGGAATTCTTATTCGCGCAAGGCTTGCTGTTGATCAGTAGAAAAAAGGTTTTGCTGAAGCTTGCGGTACGACGCAAATTTAAATGTTGGAATGAGTTTGCCAGACCCAGAATTTGTTGTGTCAGCAAAGTTTAAGTCACGTAGGGCAAGAGCTTCCAGTTGCAGTAAACAAACTGCTGTCATATGTTTTGCATAAAATTTCATGCCAATAATTGTCAGGTACAGTAATACTGCCCAACATATTTTCCACAGACTTTTTTTTTACATTGATAGTACTGCGACCTTTGCTAACCTGTAGGGAATTTTTATTTTCTATTTTCAGGCCGTCGATTGCGACGTTTCTCTAGACGGGGAATCTGACCAACAAGAGTGGGCCTTTACCCTGTATGACTTTGATGGTCACCGCAAAGTCACAAGAGAGGTAATAATTAAATTAAATTTCAAAGGTTGAAGGTAATTTGGGACTTCACAAACTTTGCATATTAATGTTCTGCTCCTTCCTGTAGATATAATTGCGGGATTGGTTGGCTGGTTCGAATCTGATGTACATGTAGCAGCGGGTATAGCAATTAAACTATTCATAAGATGGAATTTGCATTGGGATGATGTAAATCAATATTAGGATTTTGCCCTTCGCAAATCCATCTTATGAATTTGCAGTACTTGCTGCTACATATGTACATCAGATTCAAACCAGCCAACTGATCCTGTTAGCTCGGTGGTCAAGTGGTAAGACGTCTACACTAGAAAGCAGGAGGTCCTGGGTTCGAGTCCCACCCGTGTGATTTTTTCCAACTTTCACTCGGGAGGTAACACACTGAGTGTACAGTGTTTATACGTCGGTGAAGGGCAAAACCTAATATTGTTTTACATCACCCCGGCGCAAATTCCATCTTATGAAGAGTCTGATGTAATTACCTATTTATAAGTTAAGAGTTTTGACTGTTTATTTTGTTTTTCTTCCAGGATTTATCCAGTCTTCTCAAGACCATCTCAGAGGCCCTTGCCTCCACCATCACCTTGCCAGCTAGTGGCAGCAAGAAGCTACGTCTTCGCCTCTCCGTCGGCTCTGAAGACTCCGGCGATCCTAAACCTTTCCCCGCCGAAAACAAAGAAAACGTTGGCAGGACTGCATGTCCTGTCTCTACAGGCCCTGGGAAACCACTACATGATGTGGATGGGTTACCGACGCCTGCCGGGTACCAGCAGCCTGTCAGGAGTGGGGTTCGGACACACAGGCACAATCGGAGAACGTTGTCGGCTAGTCAGGCCGACTATCACGGCATGGACGGCCGCAGCCCTAACACTAAGAGACAGCACAAACTTAGGTAATTGTCTATCGTGTCCTGTTTGCAATCAGTATTAAAGCATTGAAATAGGCTGCATCAGAATGACGTGGCTAAGGCATGCGATTACATGTGTGAATGGAAGCTGCTGAACCACTTCAAATAACACGTAACTGTTTCTGGCACTAGCAAAGTAATTCGGGCTCGGCCTTTCTTGTAGATTCTGTCTAACAATCTGTGGAGACCATTTTGGGGAATTCAGTGGATGTAGTCGTTAGTTTCTTACAATGTTTTATCTCCACTCTAGTGTGTACAGTTGAATCAAGAACTTAGCACCCATATTAATTGTAGACTGATAAAAAAAATGCTGAGGGATATGGTTAAGCACGTTGTCATCCAGGCCCCCCCCCCCAAAAAAAAAAAATGTGAAGAAAATCTTGATGTACGGTAAATATGTGGATACAAACTTGTAGTGATATGCAGACCCACGACTGTTATGCATAATACAGCAAGTGCCGTAGGGACTACGGCTTAGCCACTCTATTATTGAAGGAAGGGAAACATGCGCTCACACCTCACAGAGGGGCCTGTCATGTTGGCTCGCCGGGGAACATGAATGAATATTTCATGGTCATTCGTTCATCGTTCAGCAGTTTGAAAGGTTTGAACCTTTGCATCCTAAAAGGTGCCAGTGTCTTGCTAGAAGTTATCATGACTTCGGGAAAGCCTACTCATAAACTCATACATTAGAGTCCTTTTTGAGAGAAACTAAAATTACTTGAAGACTAAAAGGAGACATAATTATCAAAGCTGTGGAGGTACTTGCACAGTGATCGTTGCAACTGGCCTCTATAAGGCTGAATGTTTGATTAGATGGCGTTGGAGCCACAACATTTGTTAGATTACTTTCCCTGAGGTGTCGCTCGATGAAAGTACTGTGACCTGTAATGCTCTGTCAAGGTTAGCGCCAATGGGGGGGGGGGGGGGGGGGGGTGGGGGGGTGGAAGGGTCGTAGCACTTTCATAGGGGCGAGGTTTGGTGCTGAGGCAGACGCGAGACTTAACCACTTGTTGATGAGAAGAACAGCTTTCTTATAGTCCTCTGCAACAAATGTTTGTTGTACCATATACATGTACAACAAAAAATGCTACAAGCTCACAAAAAAAAGAAGTTTTCTGCAATTAAAGAGATTCTTCATTCGAAAATGCACTGCGTCACCTATTGTTCAGATAATCCATCATGGGGCAGTTGCTTTGAAAAAAAAACTGGCACGATGCTTTCCCCATTGAAGGGGTCTTCGTGATTATACAGTCATGGCGTTTCCATTGGCGATGTGGGTCAGAAACGGTAATGGAATTGGCATTAACACCAGAAACGGAGTGGGGGGGGGGGGGGGGAGGGGGAGTGATTTCACAACAATACAAGGATTGCGACGGTGAGTGTTTAACCGTTCCACCTCTACAGTTGAAAGCACTCTTTATTTGACCCCCTTGGCATAGTTCAATCTACCCAGAGGGCAGGTGGCTTCACGTCAGGGGCTTGTCTGGTGTTAGGGTGTTAAGCCCACGTCCAACGTTATCTCTGTGAATCCTTGGTACTTTATTCTCTACTTGTCTGGACAGAGCCACTCCCAAAAAAAATTGTGTTTATTGTCCATGTGAATCTCAATATAATATCCTGCCCCTTCCCCTTTTTTGTGTGGATGTTTTTCGATGATAGTATTGGCTTGAAGGTGGTTACATACTGGAATAGTTTCAAGTATAAGCAAGCTGTAATTTTTTTTGTTCCAGGATTTTAGCCATAACACATCAGTAGGTGTGGTATGAGGTAACACAGATGGCCTGGGGTGGGGGAAATGGCGGGGGTGGGGGAGTGTATGAGTGGGTATCATCGGGGTATTGTCACCCAAGAAAATAAGTCTACACGTTTTTGAAGGAATATTCAACCTCACATGATTAAAAACCTCAGTACTGATATACAGCAAACCATTTGTTGTTCTTGAATGGCCTCATCCATGTTGATTGAATGTTCTGCTAAACTGCACACCTTTGAATGCCACTGTGTTACAGCAGAGGTGCCAATGTTAGCCCCCTGGGTCAATCTGGCACTGCAGGGCATCTTCACACTTTGTTGGATTACTGCCTTACCCTTCACTTTTTTTTGGTGAGGCATTGTACTTTTTGGAAGAATTGCTTGGCAGTGTACTTTTAAAGTCAGTCTGCTTGGTTATACATTTCACATATTCTGCTTACGATAGTACAACCTTTTTTTTTTGAGTCAGGGTTTCAGGTTATGGTTGATAGAGTAGAAAAATAAACATTATCCACATCAGTGAATCAAAGGCATTGTAGTGTATTGGCAGGGTTTAACATAGTCCTGTGTACCGGTACTTCAAAAAAAAATCCTGGATTTTATAACCTCTATTGGAAATCCAATTTTAGAGTTTAAGTCAAGCCTTGACAAGTCAATCACAAGTCAAGAGGCAAGCTATTCATCCTCTGTTTCGTAACCTTACTTGTGATCAAATTTTGATTGGACTTGTGATGGACTTGACGACAAATCAGAGCAAATGTTAAAAAAACATCCAGGATGTTATGCAGGTATTTCAGACAGAGTTCTGTTTCTTCCAGCCTCCTGTTAATTACTTTACTTTTGAATTGTTGATTCTTCAGGAGACAGCAGAGTGCCTACAATCACGGAGGCGATGAAGAGGTCCGACACAGACCTCATCCAGTCAGTAGCTCCTCGTCCCCAACAAGAGAGCCAGAGAACAGAGAGCGAAGGAACTACTATGAAGAGCTGGCAGGGATCGAGAACGACTGCAATCAACAAGAAGAGGCAATCGTCATAGCTCAGGAGAGAGAGGTGGAGTATCTGGCTCAGCAGCAGCTCCCACTGCCTCATAGAACCAGACATACCTCGGCTGAGAGGCTGAGAGGGAGGGGACACAGACATCCCAGCAAGGGGGGTAAGGGTGGCCACCGGCGGTCTCGGTCCTATGACTTGGACGCCCAGCAACCCATACAGGAAGGTGTGTTGAGCACAGAGGAGCATAAACTGAAGTGTGGGTTGAGGCAGCGGTATCATAAGGATTACCATATGCTTCTTTTGGAGGCTTCCCGGGCCAAACTGGAAGGCTTTCAACCAGCTTCACCTCCAGGCCCAGCAGGTGACAACCAGACCCCTCAGGTGCCCATGAAACTACCCACGTTCACCGCCGCGCCTTCACCCCTGGCTAGGCTAGCCACCTTCGCCCCACCGGCACCATCACCAACCAACCTCTGCCCAACCCAGCTGAATTCAAGCCCCGCCCCTCGGGACCCCGCCCTGGTGACTAGCCCCAAGGTCCCCACCCGGCGACGCTCTCACAAGAAGCTCCGCAAGCCGGCCTTGCAACCCTTCACCTACATGCAGCATGAGATAGCCAACGGCATGGAGGGTGTCGTCTATGTTCCTGTCTCACAGCGACATGAACATCACCATCACCACGAACATCACCATCATCATCATTACCACCACTACCACAAGTGACTAGTCGTGGCTAGGTCAACTACCTGGTGTTGGCTGAATGTGAACTGCCTGGAACTTGCGTCAGAGAGGAAAATATGGAGAGTGTAAAGTGCCAGAAAACCTGAAGACTCTAATTCCTCTCAAGTTTCAGTTCCGTTAAAGGTGCTATCACATTCACTGGATTGCAAACAACCACCAACACCTAGCTGTGCCCAATTTTGCATTTTGGATTGGTCTGTGATGGTGTGGTCAGAATTTCACCAGAACTACTAAAAATGGCTGTGGACAAAACTTGCACAAAAAACACATTTTATAACTTGGACCAAACTGTGTTGGCAAGATGGCAAAGCATGTCGGTTGGCCAGTTTTCAACTACTTAAGAGTTGTCCGTGAAAGAATGCAAGGACATCTGACATCAAACTCAGCTTTGGTGATATACGAGCGTCGGATCTTAAACAAGGTGCTTTTTTTAAAGCATGAAAAAAGCAGGGTTAGCTATTTTTTACTACTGTATCTTGTAAGTATTAAAGTATCTTAAAAACTCAAGTGTAACATAAGGACGACCAAAATGTCCGGTGTAATATATACTTTTTGCCTCGTTTTGGAATTGAATGTTATCAAACAGTAAGATTTTAATCATATACTTAATATATTTACACAATTTCCTATTGGTACACATGGGAATTGATCAGTACCAACAATTGTCTAAATGCTGAATTAAAAACAATGCATCAATTATAACAAACCACTAATTCTGCATATTATTAAGTTAAGTGGTAAACAAGCTGAGGAGGACTATAATCTATGCGTGTATCCAGAATACAAGTTCTCAAATGAACAAGTCTTCACAGGGGGTAGTGTCACCAACAAAAATAAATATTTTAAGGTTGGCCTTGGGTCTGTCGTCTAATTCATAGTATTCAAAAGTTATCCGTAAATATTGAAGGAATTTTCTCATAACGCCCAGTGAGGTCGAGTTGCACCGAACAGCTACGTATAAAATGACCAATCTATTCTTTCGGTCGCCTGCACAACAATGCCAGTGTTCATTAAGTTAAAGTCTAGACCTTAGCCCATTAGCAAATGTATTACATTGTATTTATTTACTGATGAATCCATAAAACGATAGAGTGTGTCTTTAGGTGCTATACAGGGAGTAACACACAGGGCAGTTTGGGGTGGGACAGGTACAAATGGGTTGTATAGTTGAACGTACCGTTAGAGAATAATTATGTACACAAAATTATTGGTTTGAAAATTATGAACTTTAATTCTATTCAATGTAATCCAGTGAAATGCTGCATCTGAAATTTGATTCATAGATCATCATTGGTCGTTTTGAAATCTGGCAAATTGATTAGACCCTCTATTTTTTTGTTTGGGTAAGCCCTCCTAAAGGCACTGGTGGTGGCTAATCTATCCCACAAAATACTGGAAACAAGGCATTTTGAGTAACTTACTGTCATGATCCATGCATTTTCAGTTTTGTGAGCATGTGTTGTGTACAGGTGGAAGTATTTGGCCAAGTCAAGGGTTAAACATGATCTGTCCAATCAATTAAGTGCCCACCAAAACACGTGGGTACAAGCAAATGCTTGTCACATATTCATCAGTAAAGAGCGCCCTCAATAGACTGACCAGTGACTAACTCCTATATTGCACTCTGGTTTCAAGTGCTATATAGACCATATTTTCACAGCACCAACCATTATTTTTGTAAGAAAGTATGTACACGTTATATTATGTATACATTGTACATCATGCGTCACAAGAGCATTTCATCATAATTTAGTCATAAAACTTGAAAATAACCTTTTTTTCCAACAAGTTGATTGGCATTAAGTTGTTAAAAAAACAAATCAAATTTTTGCAGTGGCGTTTTCATCAGTTTTACATGGAACTTTTTGGGAAAAATAGCCTGACCAAACACTCCGCACATCTATCTCTGAATGGCCTTGCACTTCAAATCCTTGGCCCTAGTAAAGACCAACAGTTTTCAAGTGAAACAAATTTGTCTTAAGAGTTTTTACTGAAGTCGCTTTATTTTAAAGTTTAAATACAAAGTATTCTCAATCTGTGCAGTATTGGAACACGTTATGTATTCATTCATCTAGATTCACTTTGAGGCTTTTTATTGCTTTGAGTATTTTAAATGTATACAGACATTTGAAGTCTGTATTACTTATGAATTAATTATTTTTTTTTTAACATTCTGCAAGGAGTCATGCACAGTAGACATTGTGCATTGATATAATTTATTTTTGCAAACCAGTTGCGCACACATCACCTTTTCTATGGTACTTTTTTATTCAGGTATTAAACATATTGGTTTTTCCATGCACTTTTGAATGAAGTTGCAGAACGAAAAAATACAGAGTGTTTTTATTTTTACTTCACCTAAACTAAAGAGTTTTTTCTTCTGTCTTAATTATTCAAAAAAAAAAGACTATTGAAAGGAGTTAAGTCTTGTAAACACCAAAAATTCTCGGGAATGACAGAAACGTAGTGGAAGTGCTGAAAAACTTGGCGATTAGGTTGAGATTGACTGGTGCAGGAGTTGAACCTTGAACTGCCGGATTACTGTTCCAGCACACTACCAATTACATGTACCTATAATGGTGGTCTCCCAAATGGTCACTATTTTTGTGACAAAAAATGATTTTGGAACAAGAACAGATTTGGAATTTGAAACTGTTCAATTTTGTACTCAGTTCAGCTTTTCCAGCAAAAAGTTATCTTTTTTTTCTCCATCATATTTATTTTCTATAAAAGTTAAAAATGCACATGTATTTTGAGTTACTATTTTATGTAATGTATTATTCATCTTATCTTTAAAAAGTAACGGAAAACAACGTAAAACTTATATTTTTGTCTCGTTCTAGCACTAGCTTTTTTGTTGTGTTAACAAAACCTTAGTCAAAAACAGCATTTTCCCCCATTTTTTTAAATACATTAATGAAACTATATAAAACTCATTTTAAACACCAAACAGTACAATGACAATTGTATTTTAGTAATTAACACATGTTTATAGTGTATAGTAACTCAGGCTGAAATTTTAATAATTTTTTTTGTGTAGAAATTTATCAAAGTGTAATGGTAATTTTGTTGATAAAACTAATCTGTGATGTAACACAGTATTTTAGCACTGGCTGGAGTGGCTGCCTTTGGTGGCGCAGTAAAAATGAATAATAAAAAAAAAACCCTGATGGTACCACAGAACTCAAATATGAAACTCATTTTGCAAGCGGAAAGCAGTTACACCTCATCCATTCATTCTTGTGTGAATACTTCAACTGTTTTGTTGAGGTCAAATATCTAGAAAATTGTTGTTTTGGAAATGGTTCAACACCTTTGGAAGGAGCGTTAAGCTGTGCATTTTTGAATCAGCGAGGGCCCTGTTTTTTGCTTTTGCTTCCGAGAAGAACATTGTGCTTAAACTGTGGCTTACATCAAATCCACAAACATCAGTATTGTACTTGAGTACACCACAAGTTCTTTCATATTTCACAAGTCCAGTCTCAATTAACAGAAGATGGGCAATAACAAAGGAATGCCTTTGTAACAATTCATTTGAGGAGTATGTGACTTGAATTGAGACTACTTGTGATAGACTCGACTACAATACTGAAGAGCATGAATTCAGGGTATTACCGTTTGGTTTGGGCATTTAAGGCCTCTTATGATACTGAAGTCATAGATGAAGGTGAAGCTGAAATGAGGCCATGGTTTTGTAAATTGCCTTGTTCTCCACTTAAGCTGGTACCTGTGACAAATATCATACGTCATCTATGGTGTGTCTTCAGGAAACCCTATACAGAGGATTCTTGACTATTATTGTGCAAGTTTGTTAATCGGGAATTCTATTAATTTAGGGTCCAGAATGACGACTGCATTAAGGAGTGCATCAGTGAAATAAAATCATAGATGTCAGATGTAACGGGGACAGCGAAGAAAGTCACTGTACTCGGTACATCATGGGAATATGATAACAAATTTACAAACACTGTTTTTATTTTCAATTTCATTCATGCTGCTTTAAGGTCTTATCACATCATTAGAGATTTATGTGTTTACATCAGGATTCAAGATTGAATAAATTGAATGTATCTTATTCATAACAAAGACAAAATACAGTATTTGGTGTGGTTTGAGTTTCATTCGTTGTAGCAAAAGATGTCTAAAATGTCGCAAAAATACAAAATGTATTTAAACGTGAGGCGTTAAAATTTCTTGCTGCATAAATAATACTTAAAGCTCCCCCCCCCCCCAAATTATCCTTGCCGTCATCTTTTGTCTTGGCCAATGGGAGCCAACTTGCCTCCACAGAAAGTCCGGTGTTCCTCATAGGACATCATGATTCTGACTAATATTCCAATGTTCACCGCAAAGAATGCGAGGCCAGCGAGCCACAAAAACAAGAAAGTATCATGTCCTTCAAATTCCAAGCAGTAGGCGAAATACAGCCACAGTGCCTGAACAAAATAAAGAAAATGAAAAACAAATAAAAGCAAACTCCACACTCGCAAATTAGCTTGAAAACAGTGTGTGTGCATGTAAAGTATGCTTGGAATTTCTCGGGTAGCATTGCCAAAGTTCTCAAGACTAGATTTGATTCATATGATTGATGGCGCCCTCTCCCATTGAGGCAGACCACACTTGTCAAAGACAGGCTGCATATGAAAGGGAAACAAAATCTAAATCCAGTAATTGGACCAAGGCTAGTCTGAAATGGGTGTAAGCCTCTTATTTTTTTTCTAAGGTCCTGTCACAAAAAGACGAAAATATTTACCTGTCCGAGAAACCAAAGACCTGTGAGGCAGAGAGCTTCTGAAAGTTTCATCCTCAGAGTTGGGATGACGAGAGGAAGGAGGCATAGATACCACAGAAAGTACTGCAATAAAGAAGGGGGGAAAACAAACAATGAAACATTTAGACAAGAACAGCAAACATTTTCACTGAAGATCAGATCTTATCAATTTTATTTAAATCACATGTGCCTGATCTTTCCAGTCTTCCAAGTCTGAGTAAAAGGAAACTTCTGAGCACATTAGAATGAGAAGTAAATATTAATAAATAAAAAAATAGGAAACCAAACTGTAGATCAGAAAATTGGGGGCGCTGTTTCAATCTAACAGTCCCTTTGGTTCAACATCCCTTTGATTCAAGAGAGGGCGCTGTTGAAACAGTAAGGCCATGTGGAATGCATAAAAAAGGTTGAATCTGATAAAAAGACGTGAAGTGAATAAAATCAGGGGTTGGGGCGGGGAAGGTTATCAAATAAAATGTCTTACTATTCTGTATGGTTAAAATATGATTTTTTATTGGGGGGGGGGGGGAGGAGGGACGGGAGACCATTACTACACAACAGACACCACTGAAATTGTTTGAATTTATATTGGGTGGGGTTGTGTTTTAGTCAGTAAGGTGCCAATTTAAACATGTTTAATATCCTAGATTCGCTTTTTTTTTGTGAGATGTTGTTGCATCATTATTTTAGCAAACTCTCTCTGCTGCGTTAAGTGATCTTAATGAGGCGTTTGGGCAAACAGGTTGTGTAAAACTGAAGCTGATTTTCATCTTCCCGGCTAACTGGTTAACAGACGGAAGTAACTTACCTGTGAGGTGCACACTTTGTTGAAAGCCACAAACAGGAATGTCTGAGTGAAACAACAGAACGCAAGGTCCCTGTAGTATCGAACGGACAATGCTACCATGAGCAATGCCTGTGGTAAGAAGGCTAGGAGACCGACCATGACGGATACCGGTGACTCGCTGGTTAGGTACAGCATGTAGAAGTAAGGGGAGAAGTTATGCCGGACGTCGCGCCGTGTTACATGGTATAGATAGGTTTCTTCTAAGAATTTGTCTCCATAGCTGGTGGGAGAAAAAAGAAAATGGTGTGTTGTTTTGTAATAGTTGGACGAACCAAAAAAGGGCAAAAAATATCAATCTGGCATGCACATATGGGTTTATGGCTTCTGATTAGCACCCTTGAACAAAGACATTGACAAACTGAGGAACCGCCGACATAGGGCTGGATAGCTCAGTTGGTAGAGCACTGGAACGGCAATCCAGAGGTCGCAGGTTCGAACCTTGCTCCAGTCAATTTCTTTGTTCAATGTTATAAAACTTAATCTTTAGCATCACAGCAATTTTCACAACACCTCCAAACTCACCAGTAATACATAAGCCCTGTAAGCAACGCAAACGTGGCTACCGACACGAAGACAAATTCAAGACGAGACTTGCAAGGCCAAAACAGCTCAGCAATCCTCCTCAAAATTCGGTCTTTCAAATGGAGTGCCGATCTCTTCAGGAGGGGCTTCTCACAAAAGTCGCTACCCAGAAGAAAGTATATAGGAACACAGTAGGTGACTGGGTAGATTTTAACGTGGACAGACACAGCATACAGGAAGGCGGCAGCTCGAGTATGACGTTTCATCAAAGCATACAGCGTCGACAAAACCAACACCGACATGATCGACTCGGCATTTCCCCGACTCGAGACGGTCATGGGTAAAGGGTTCAGCCACCACAAGAGGGCGCTGTTGATAGCTGCCTGATCCGGACAGCCTGAGAGTTTCAGCATCTTTAGGATGAGTGTACCGGTAAGAACGTCACAGAGGATGAAGATTATCTTGCCGAATACTGGAGTGAGGAGAATATTTGGGGTGAGAGCCCAGGCTAGAAGAGGGGTGTAGCGATATGTAGCTCTCTCATATGGAGACGAACCCTGAAATGAAGTGGAAAATAAAGGACATTTGTCTTTTTCATTCATTATTTAATGGTCGGGGGGGGGGGGGGGGGTCCTGTTCAAAGTAGATGATCTTGAATGACTCTATCTGACAATAGCTGATACTATTCATTGCTGCGTATTTGCCAATAGATGCCGAGAAAACAATGAAAGGGATTGTGTGCCCCCCCCCCCTCCTGGCCCCGGCCACAACCCTGTTCGCTACTCTACACCTACCTACCTGTGACACATATCTAGCAGCATCAGTGAAGACGTGATAGTCAACATCCGTGTACTTGACGAGCATAGTCCTATCCTGCCACTCTCCGTACACCACCAGGACTAGCCTTAGGAGAAATGCTGCACCACACCAGGCAAGGGTGACTCTAGAAAACTTCACAGCCATTCTCAGTGCGCTGAAACTAAATAATTATCTGTTGAAAGACAATAAAACAAATTTCATGAAGGTAGGCCAGCTGTGATGGGATTATTGAATTGCATTTTGATTTGATGTTGTCAACATGTCTTCCCCTTAAACGTGGACATCTGTGAAGGCAACTTTTGTCAAACTTTAGAGTCCAGTTAGTCAAAAAGTCAACCACAAGTCAGCGCCTCTGTGGTCAAATCACAATTAAGCTATTCAAATGAACGGAAACAAAACGCATTCCTGTGTTGCTGCTTATTACTTATGACTTTAATTGTAATTTGATTTGTGACAGACTTGCAATTTTTTATGGACTTAATTATCTTGTCATAAAGACACAACTGCTTCAGCTTCTGCTAATTTATGAAAGATATCTCAAAGCCCTTAAATATTTAACTTATCATTTTAATTTTGTAAACTTATTTTAATATTTATCTGTAAAAGGAAAGTTATGAAATACTCATGGAAATTTAAAACAATTCTAGTCTAGCATTAAAATTTGATAGTTCAAGAATATCCGTCATGACAGTTACTTGAAAGAATCTGGATATGGGGTCTTAAAAGGCTTAAGCCTATAATAGATAATCCCATCAAATCTTAAGTGTAAGTGTAAGTGTATATATAATCTTTCTTTTTTTTAATAATAAAGAAACTGACAAAATTGAAATTTCTCAATCAAGAAGAAAACATTTAACAATACCATTTGTTATTCTTTTTTAAAATAAAAAACGGTATTGGTAAATGTTTTCTTCTTGATTGAGAAATCATCAATTTTGTAAGTTTCTTTATTTTTCAAGTGATAATAATACAATTGCGATTTGCGAATTTAAGCATAAGCATGATGCCTGGCCTGTAGCATGGAGGAAGCATATTAAAGGGAATATACATCATTTGCTTTTGCTGTAATTTTCAGAAATGGATGAAATTGGGGGGTTGGAAATATAAAGCAAATATAGTTGCACTGACTTTTTGGAGGTTTTGGGTTCGAAAATGCTATAAAAACCAAGAAAAACGATCATTTTCCTGTAGTCTGGTTCCCTGACTCCATATAAGAAGAAACAGAGCAGTTTACATACATTGGGAATTGTAAGGTCAGGGAACCAGTCTAGCTGGCTCGTACCCGTTCATAGGTTTGTAATCGATTGCAAACAAGTGCAATGGTCAATTGGGGCCAGTATTTGAAAAAAAGCCAGTTGTTTCCAACGCTGATCGGCCGTTCAGCGTTGGAAATTGATACAAAAATACCACTTTTCTTGAAAATGACAGTATACCAGGTGCCATAATTTTACAGGATGCTTCAGGCTGTCATTTACCAACATCCTATTAAGGTATTTCGCAAAAACTTGGTAGTTTTTTTTTTCGATGTTTGCAAATGTTGTATATTCCCTTTAACAGAAGTATTGTTAGTTACATCATGATGGAGGAAGGAACACATCATCAATTATATTTAATTCTTGCAAACAATGCATGTTCAATGTTGAAACCTGCTATCTTAGTCAATAATCTCACAAATGCCATTTTCGAGGAACTTCCACCAACCACACGAACCACAAAATACCATTCTGCCCCAGCTGAATTACGTGAATAAGCCCCGATATGATTAGTGTTGTCACTTGATTGACATCAAATTCACCTGTTTCACACTGAATGACCTCTCTGCGTGCCGCGTTTGAAGTTCACTTCCGGTACAATAAGAAGAAACCATTATCTACATAGGGTGTTCATGATTTTGAAGGGATTACATCTATTCAAAATATGCCTGAAAACGCAACATTATTTAGATATTTCACTATTAAATTAGAAAATCACCCACAGTAAGCCAATCTGATTTTCCATTTGAAAGTTCACAAGGAGATTCTGAGTTCTTTTTGAATATCATTTAACCATTTGTAGTGGAGCTCACACGTTTTTATTTATTTCAACCACACCGCAATTGACCAATCATCTATCCTTAAATCTGCCTCGTGGTACTGTAGCATTTTCAACATGGCGGGTGAGTGACGGAAAATTGTGTGAATCTCTTCCGCTGAAATACGGCTTATTTTCTCTTATTTACCATTTTCTCTTTTGGTTTTCAGACCTCAGTTATTTATCGCAGAACTTTGAAGATGACTGTGATGACTGTGAGTATTGTATAATTCTCAATAATTTTCTAATTTAAAGAATATAGGCCCCTATTCGTGGTATTTTTTTCAGCCCATCCTACCGACTCGAGTGTACATAACATGTACGCGTTACGTTACTCGACGCACGTCGCGCATGGGCTATGCACTGCAGTGCAGCAAATGTGTACAGTTCGTATGTGAAGTACGTTTAGTGTGAATGTGTGAACAGTGTTCGTGATGGAAGCTGCAAAGTGTATGGAGAATGTGATGATTTTGTTAAGTAAAATTTGAGGCTTTGCATGGTGGAGATACTAAATAAATAATGAAAGGTTTGCGGAAACACCATGTGCGAATGATTTCTCAACTAAGTAAGAGAATGGTTCTGAAAAGAACCAGAGGTATAAACTCGATGTTCCGGTCAGTATGCAGTCTGACCGTCTTCAGGAGAGTGCCTAAACTCTAATTGAGCTAGGCCTAAGTTTAAACTAGCTGGAGTTACCCAGCCCTGAGTTTTATCATATGGGTTGTCTATAAGGGCTGGAGCGTATTTTTCTCATAAGTAGTAGTATATTCAAGAAATTTTTGGAAAATTTTCAATTTTGTCCCCGTTACACACTAATTGCAACTGCAACTCACCCCAAACTTGCCTGGAATAACCATTACACAGGTCCTTGAAGTAAAAAACGATCCACGATGAAGATTCAGCCTACAATTGCAGTGAAAACAGGAGGAATAACCGCTAACTTGACAACCTTTCAGGCATGGCCAGGACTGCTATGGAATTGTCCACACAAAAAAATTGTGTACAATGAATGGCGGCGGTCGATTACCACCACGTACAGCTCGCTGGTACTACGCGTTTTTGCGGTCGGTGCATGACGTGACGCGGAAGCGTAATACCCGATGACTGTTTCATGCATTAAGAAGAGGTTCACTCGCATCACAGTGCGGTACTGGAACGGCAACCGTCGAGTTGGCCGGCTATCGTGCATTCATAGTGCAGTGTTATTTACTCGACGGTTGCCGTTCCAGTACCGCACTGTGATGCGAGTGAACCTCTTCTTAATGCATGAAACAGTCATCGGGTATTACGCTTCCGCGTCACGTCATGCACCGACCGCAAAAACGCGTAGTACCAGCGAGCTGTACGTGGTGGTAATCGACCGCCGCCATTCATTGTACACAATTTTTTTGTGTGGACAATTCCATAGCAGTCCTGGCCATGCCTGAAAGGTTGTCAAGTTAGCGGTTATTCCTCCTGTTTTCACTGCAATTGTAGGCTGAATCTTCATCGTGGATCGTTTTTTACTTCAAGGACCTGTGTAATGGTTATTCCAGGCAAGTTTGGGGTGAGTTGCAGTTGCAATTAGTGTGTAACGGGGACAAAATTGAAAATTTTCCAAATTTTTTTTGAATATACTACTACTTATGAGAAAAATACGCTCCAGCCCTTATAGACAACCCATATGATAAAACTCAGGGCTGGGTAACTCCAGCTAAGTTTAAACATGCTAAACTTTAAAATCACAGCTAGCAGCTTTGAACATAGAGGGCCCCCTTCATTATTATTAATATTAATAATGTAGCACTGGCTGTTGTAATTCACTGAATGTGTCCTGACGTCACGACCTCAATGATTGTATACAAAGTCTATATTATTATGGAGAACTTTTTCTAGAATTATTTGTAAACAAAATTGGAAATATTTCTCTGGCGCTTATTCATTCTGGGCGTGTGCAAAAAACATTGACATTGTTGATGTCCCCAAACATGGCGCGGCCCCTAACGTGGGGCGACCCCTAACTTATATTTTTTGCCTTATTAGTACCTGGCTAGAGCAAAAGTTTTCCCTGAAATTTCACTGTAAGGCAAAAAAAAAAAAAAAACATGTTTAGCGTCCTGCCTCTTTGACAAAAAGGAAGGAGGAGGCCCTTTTTTTTTTTTTCTTCTTCTTTTCAAAATGGCCGCCCGACACATTTTTCAAGACAACGCGGCCGGGCTTTTTTTCAAGATGGTTACCAGCTTTTTTCAAAATGGCCGCCACTTGGACTCAGGAAATGACATATTGGCTTCTTATGGGCTTTATACACGGTATAAAAGTCTAAAAATACGATTTCTTTCGTCAGAGATCGTTAAAATTTATCAATTTTTGTCTTTAAAAAAAAAAAAAAAAAGGAGGCGGCCTCTAAAAAGGAAGCGGGCGGGGACGCTAAACATGTTTTTTTTTTTACTTCGCCTAAGTGAAATTGGAAAGATTGTAGTACATGTATCTAGACACCACTTCAGCGGTTGTGTACGAAGTCTATGGAGAGTCAAGAAAATTGTCTAAAACTTTCCTAACAAAATTGGAAATGTTTGTCAGTCCCAGATTCATGTCTTTTCAACATTTTTGCAATGACTGACCTTTATTGAGATGATATATGAAGAAAAAAGTGGCGTCGACAGGTTGCAACATTCTTTCTGTGAAATTTCATTAAGCTCTAAACATTCCCGTTCATAAATCTCAAGTTGACCTAGCCATTACAAACTTAGCAGAGAAATTTTATTTTGGCGTGATTTTCTGTTTTTATTTTGAAGTCAAAATGAACTCTTTTCAAATGCGCCCAAAATTTTGAAAAAAAATTTCTGACAAAGTTGTAGTTGGGGTATATAAGTGAAAATAAGAATGGTTTATGATAATTTGTCAACTTTAATAAAAATTCTTAAATTTTAATTTGGGATTTTTCCGAGATTTGTTCTAGTGCACCTGGCACATTAGGGAACACTTGGCCGATTTTGTGCCCAATTTCCAGACACCACTGTTTTTGAATTGCTGAAATAGTTCACAAAGGTTCAGCAGCAAGCATTATTAAGGTAAAAGTACCAATATTTAACTGAGTGAATTTGAAGTTTGTCAAAAGAGAGGTTTGGCAACACTATATGAGGAAATTTGTGGGAAACGTTGAAGTGCGCCATGTTAGGGGACTCCACTGTACATGTACTGTGAAAAGAAATGTCATCAGAATATAGGCCTACCCCTCAATGGTAGAATTTATCGTTTGGAGCTATCCAAAAAGTAACTGACGAAATTATTGTTGGAAAGCATACTTGGTTCAATTAAGGAAAGTAATGGCACTAAACGCCCTGTGAAATTGTTCTTTCCGGCATGCTGTCATTTTGACGAAAAAAATAAAAGAAATTCATTTCCAAAGATGTGTCTAAAGATGAGGAAATTTGCGTTAGCAATGGTAGTTCGTTTTTAATTTGGCGAAGCTGTGAGTGGGTGCATTGGTGCAACGCACATCCGCACGTGGTTGCTACACGGTGGTCCAGTGCTTGACACCGCGTAGCTGCAATCAGCTGAATGAGAACGTGTCCCGGATGCTGAGATCCTAGAGTACTGTTTTCTCGGAATATACAGCATTCACTAAGCTGAAACTTCATCAGGTTAGTTGTTCAGCACCCTTCTTTAGATTTTGAGCACTTTTGTTGCTTCAAACAAAAACAAATGCACAAATGACAAACGATGTACTCTACACAAATGACAAATGATGTAAACAGCATCTGTCTAATCTACTCGTTGATTTATGTAAATATTAAAGCAGAAAAATATGATGGCTGTAGAATTGTTATAGTAATCTGACTGCCAGTTGGCAATCTTTAGAAACGAATACGATAGACAGTTGTGTACTTCTGAGCAGGAAATGGTAGCAGCATTGGTCAAGGCCGAATGGTGGAAATAGGACTGTTATAGTCTGACTTTTTCAAGTCATTTTTTAAGTTGTTGAAGTTATGATCCGAAAATAAAACTAGTAACATATGTTGGAAAATTATGGATCTAAAATTGGCAGTGGTTTGTTTTAGTAGCCCACTTGTACATGGTTACTGAAGATTAAAGTCAACGCTTTCTTCCAACAAGCGAAGTTGGCTATTGGAATGTGTTTCTAACTATATTTGGGACGTCCATGAAACCACTTTCTTTAAAGCAGCGCAATCTGATGAGACATGATATTGAGCAAACAGTTTCATATTGTAACTATTTACTCATCAAATGAGGACGAGATATGAAGGACACAATTAAATAGATATCACATTAAAATCACTTAAAAACAAAATTGGGTACTCATTTGTTCATTGCTGAAAATAATGAACAACTTGACTTTGTATTTTGTGACAAAAACAATACAACTTGTGTGAAAAAAAGTGATAAATTGCAAGTGTTTATCATGAAATTGAAAGCTCTTTTGCCAATTAAATATTTTCAAAAATCAAATCTTTAGATTTGCAATTACATGTTTGTTGTACGAGCCTCAATGTATTATTTAAAATTTGTTGATGCATACACTGTACGTGTTTAACATTAATGAAGTTTTCCATGTACATGTATTGTGGTTGATGATGATTCTAACCCCAGGTACAATGTACTTGAAAGATGGTTCTGAAACATTCTGAATCTTCATAGGACGACTGCCCCCCAAAAAGCAATGCACCTTGTAAGAAGGAACACCGCCCTCTGTTGTCTCCTGTGTGAAATTTAGATTAG